ATGGAGACGTTCCATCACGTTGCCTAACTGCACTCAGTAGAGCGATGGGGCGATAGTGGGACGGCATCATGTCCTGTAGTACCCGGTTTGCGGGGAAAGGGGAACAATGGAGGATTTCCACAGCTGGGGGATGAACTCCTTGTGCCCCGAAATAAATTGAAGATGGTGTAAGAGTGACTGACAAGGGAGACCAATGTAATGTTATAAACATACGAATAAGAATGTCCATTGCCAGCTGCCGATGATCGGCAAGCTGAGAGCTGTTGCCCTCCAGTTCTTGAAGTGTTAAAAGGCACATTATACTGTTCTTCTCTGAGAGAAGAAAAGTCCAAGGGTACTAACTCTCTGGAGCAGACTTTGAGGAAAGAAACCGAGGGGCTAGATGGAGCCCTCGGGAAATAGCTGGACCATGATGTGTGCCAAGTTCAATGGCAACGTCGGAGGGTTTTGATACATCAACACCACGCGGACCCGTAGAACAGGAGCCGGATCAGGAGTGTATTACACTCAATTTCCTCACTTTTTTCCAGGGACTGCACTCATAGAAGGAAGCAGAGGTGAAGGTGGAAACATTAGTCTCGCCAGAGACAAGTGCGTTTAGCTTCACGGATGACACAGCGAGGCGATAGCACACCTTCGGCTTAAAGTCAAGAAGTCTCTCAGCAGGTTTATTTTTCCAGTTACCTGCCCCATGCAGGCACGTTTCAAAATGTAACGCATGAGCTAAAGCAGGAGACCACCAAGGCACGCACTTCTGAGAATGCCCTGGCCGGAAGGTTTGGGGTATTAGATGAGAAGCTGCGGTTATAAACTGCGTCAGCAGATGATGTAGAGCTCATCAATGGAGGATGAAGAAGGAAACCTCACTAAAAGCCAGTGAGGTGTGAGTAAAGATCCCAATAGCCCGATCAAATTGGCCCAGCGAGGGCTACGGAAAGGTGGTGAATAGGAAAGGAGAAGTAAAGAATGATCGGAAATGATCACCTGGCATGTAAGTCTGGTAGTGAACCAGACAGGTGAAGTCTAGTGCAGTGGAAGGAAGAGCAGACTGATAGATCGATGCAAGAGAGAGTAGAGTACGGGATCCCCAATGGGATGGAGTACCCGTTTTTAAAACAGTGGAGGGGCGGTGAGAGGCGAGAAAAGCCTCCAAACTGGATGCCACGTGGAGTCACAATGAGGACCCCCAGAGGAAATGGTGGCATTAAAAATCATCCCATGTAACAGAAGTGGTGGTGGTAAGGATGACGAACAAGAAAGGCAAAGTCTGGGATAGAAAATGCCGTGAAGAGAGAGATTTAAAGTACAATGTAAACACTTTATTTCAAGGGATACGGGCTGCAGTGTAATGCCAGCGAGGATATGGTCTAATAGTTGACAGTAACGGAATATCAATTGCGTAGAAGATGGGCACTTTCATTAAAGGTCCCATATGAGAAGAAGGATCCGAAGAATACAATAAATTATAGCCTGAGATAGGTTGGAAAACAGCCGAGTGTAATTTTTGGTTCTTGTAAGAAGCACCAACAGGGAGAAAATTGGAATGCAACATTCTGAGCTTCACCCCGATTACCCCTGAGGCCGCGGGTATTCACTGGTAAATAGGCCATGGGATTGGCCGAGGAAGAAAATACCAGGATCTGTAGGTAAAGGCACTACTGGACTAGCAGGGGTTAGAAAGTCAACGTGTGGTGGCATTGGATGACGTTCAAGCTAGCCGACAGGAACAGAGCGTTGCGAAGAATGGGGTTGTGAAGATGGGAGGAGAGGGAAGAGATAGGATTAGGTAGTGGATTCTGTGTCCATGGTAA